AACACCTCAGAGTCACCGAGGCCCGACATGAAAACCGTGCCTATGCAGCTTCAGAAGACTTGCAATACTGTTGCTGATACAAATCCTGCATTACCTTAAGGACCCGGAAACTGTGGGAATTCTGGTATAATCCTCATTAACTATGGGAATTATGGTACTTTCCTTAGTAACTATGGGAATTATGGTACTTTCCTTATTTTGGGTAATGCAGGATTTAGATCATCAGCCTTATAGTACACCTTTGAATCCCTTAACCCTAAACCCTAAACCTAACTTGTACCCTTTTGAAGCCCTTTTATAGTACCCTTAATAGGGACTGCGCAGGCACTGAGCAAGCATCTGTGGGACGAATCGCTCTCATCAGGCCTCGCCGGCTATGGTAGCCTTGGAAGGGTTTAGGGTTTAGGATTTAGGGTTTAGGGTTTAGGGGCCGGGTTAGGGTTTAGGGTTTAGGGTTTAGGGCTGGTCTTTATTAGGGGAGTCTTTATATGAATCCTAATATAGTTGAGGTTATAGGGCCAGAGTTTCTTAATCAGGTTCATACATTGCAAAGTGCTCGTTCCCTCCGGCCATGGACGCTTTGTAAGTCAGTGAACCTTCCAGCACATTGCATCGACCAGACAAAGTTCATTCTCAATTACGTCATACATCCGCATTCAAGCATCATAAGAACACAATGAACGGCTTGCTTGTGTTCAAGACTGGCCAAAAACTCCAACAGAAGACGCCGAGCAAATTCCATATGCAGTGAGACCTCACTGCATCAAAGCTAGACTCCACCCGTGCCGTGTGGCCTTTACGGCCTAGTCAGAAACCGAGGTGTTGGTGCTTAGACGGAGGCTTCAGTGTCTACTGGTGGCGCCCTAAACCCTAAACCCCAAACCCCAAATCCTTGCGAAGAGCTGGGGGGCACGTGCCCATGAGCACTAAACCCAACCAAGCATTCAGCGCCAAGCCACGGTTTAGGGTTTAGAGTTTAGGGTTCAGGGTTTTACACTGGAGTAGTGTACTTTCAGAGTCAGCTTGGAAACAACATCTCGAGAGTTCGGAACTCTGGCCGAGGGCGTTGATGAATGACTCCCGGTACTGGTTCGGATCAAGCGCTGCATCCCCGAGATTCTTGCAGGGGGTGTTCAGGACTTTTTCCCAAAGGAAATAAGTGTAGTTTGCCCCTGTCTAACGAACGCTGGTACAACGGGCTCTGGATGCTACTGCTTTAGATATAAAGAGGTTTGTGAGAATTGACCTCATGCATTTTTTTGGGGGGGGGTCTATACATTTCCAGCGTGTACTGCAGCTTCAAGAGCCGAAATTCGAGAAACCCTGCAAGTCCTACACCTCATAACCCCAAAATCCGAAAACCCTACCCAAATAACCTACCGTTTTAAAGGACTCACATGAAGACCTCATACTAAAGATCCCTAAAAAGATAAGTTTCTTAGGGTCCAGGTAAACCCACAGTCCTGAACCCTGTACCCGAAGTCCCCATCGCTGGAGTCCTAAAGATCTAAAGATCGTGCTTTAGGATCCGGGCCATATCCGAAGTAGCCTGGCGAGCTGGAGACAGCCGAGAGCAAGGGTTTAGAGGGGTTGGGGGGGGTTGAAAGGCTCCAGGGTCTTATTTTCTACCATTAGTCTTCTCATCATCAGTATTAGTGACTCTTAATTCTTGCTTTCGGGATTTTTTGCGTCTGCATGCCCCAGCATTCACAGCCCTATTGGGTAGGCATCTGTGCAACAGGTTGTTGCCAGGAATCCCTTTGCACCCCTCCACACCCTAAACCCTAACCGCATCACTTCTCCACTCACCGACATCAGAGCCCGCGACAACATGACGACCCAGTGCTACTGTAGGGGCCTTGATGATTAGAATAGGGTTCTGGGGTCCATTATACTATAAGTGTAGTAAGGAACTCCCCAAAATAGTATAGGTAACTATTGAATACTAGTTTGGGGTTCCCTATTATATTTAATTATGGTACAATGGACCCCAAAACCTTATTCACTATACCATAATTATACCAAGGACACCCCCAAATAGTATATAGGAAAAAATATTCAGGCCCCTATAGTACATGGATTTCCGGCTTGTTTGAGCATTCGCCATCGGCTTGCCCATCAGGACCCGTGTCATCCTCACCCAGGTTTAGGGTTTAGGGTATCGAAAATGTTCCGGATTTGTTTTTCTGATTCCGTGCTTCTTACATAGGGCTTCCCATAGGCCCCTAAGTAGTTGATTTTTATGGTTTATATTTAGAATCCCATATAAGGTAATCCCCAAAAGGAACTACTTCGGGGCCTATAGGCTTGCGGTTTTCGGGCTCGGCTGTGCGCAGCGGAGGATTGCGAGGCCTACGCACCGAGATCGGCGCGCAAAAAGGAACGGTGCGATCCGGAAAGCTCCGGGCTTAGCTGTTCCAGGCCAGGGTTTAGGGTTTATAGGGTTCATAGGGCTTATAGGGTTTAGGGTTTATAGGGTTTATAGGGTTTATAAGGTTTAGGGTTTAGGGTTTAGGATTTCGGATTACGGGCTTAGGGCTCAAAGGGTGTAGGGCTTAGGGTTTAGTGTTTAGGGCTTATAGGGTTTAGGGTTGCCGGCTGTACATCCCCCTTGTTTCCTCACATTCTGCAAGTCTCTCTAACAAAAATGCCAAGCCGGCCTCAGAAGGTTTTCTTGTTGCTTTTGGGGGCCAATGTATATAACATCTCTAAGTCACTTGTATTCACCGGGACACCTCGTCACTTCCTGACTGCACATGGCCAGAACTGCTTGCTGCAGGTCTTGCAAGTACACTTGGTGCGATCGCTCCCGAGGTGAACAGATGTCACAGGCCCAGAAAAGAAAAGTTGCCCCAACCCCATCCCTTCACCATCACACCTTGCTCACGGAGGCCGCAGCACGGTTCCAGGCGTCCCCCTGGCAATCAGTCTGTGGTTGTGTGTGTGTGTGTGTCAGTCAGTGTCAGTCAGTCAGTCAGTCAGTCAGTCAGTCAGTCAGTCAGTCAGTCAGTGTGTGTGTGTGTGTGTGTTGTGTGTGTGTGTGTTTGTGTTTGTGTGTTTGTGTGTTTGTGTGTGTGCGTGCATGAGTTGAACAAAGAACGTTTATCGAAACAACACGAACAGATACATAAACACACACGCACATACACATACACATACACATACACATACACATACACATACACATACACATACACATACACATACACATACACATACACATGCACATACACATACACATACACGTACACATACATATACAGATATACATATACAGGTACATGTACATGTACATATTATGTACATATACAATACCAGTATTCATACGTGTGTTGCATATGTATATACTGTTAGTCTGTTTGACTGGTCATGTCTTTTCTCTGTTTAAATGCATGTACAAGGGAGTGTTGCTTAGTCTTCTGTCAGCTTACCGCCTGTTGGGAAATGCGACTGTGTCCGTTTGCTTGCTCGTTGGTGAAACAAGACAGCACAGCAAATCATTTCGGGCGTGGACACAGGACTCTTTCGTGTTGCCTCGGGGACGTGTTGCGAGTTGGGAAGAGAGGTTCGAAAAGCAAGTGACAGCGCACACTGACCACCAAAGCTCACAACCTATGTTGATATCCGCTAGCATCAGAGCTAGACTCAATCATCTCTAGACCCTAAACCCTATCCAAACGCAACGTGTTTGCACCGCAGCCCGGGGGTTGGTGTGGCATGTACTCAGTACTCCCGTAAAGAGGACCCCTGATCCAGCAGGTGGCCGAGAAGTGCCCTGGAGCTGTTACACAATCTTAACCCTGAAACGCTCACAACTCGACTCAAGTTGACCCCTGAACCCTAAACCCTAAACCGAAGCCAAAGCCCCTAAGGGCCCAAACCTGAAGGCCCTGAGCCGTAAAGTCCCGACGCCTTGAAGCCCAAACATCCTAAATTCTGGGTTTTCGAGGGCGCCCTTCTGGTCCTTAATTGTGGGTATTTAGGGCATATTAGAGGGTAGTTGGGGGTCTAGGGAGGGTTTAGGGTTTAGGGCTTGGGGCTTAGATGCACTTAAAACCTGAGAAGTTAAACTCCAAACCTACAGTTGAAACTTGCAAACGCCTAAACCCAAATCCCTAAACCTGAAATCTCAAATCCAAAACCCTGCATCAACTGGAAATGCAAACAACAAGCTTGAAACCTACATTCTTGGACCCCGAAACCCCTAGAAGGCATTTGAGAGCCCTCCCCCCGCCCCTCCCCTCCACCCCCCTCCCAGAAGAAAACTTGGTGCCTCGTTAGGCACACTTTCTCCGGACCGCACCACCTCACACCCCAACGGCCGACATGACATGCTGTGCACATGCTTCGGGCTTGGTGGTTTCGGGTTTCAGGTTTAGCCCCCTGAACCCCGAAAACCCTACAGTTTAGTGGACTCTACCATAGCGGCTTTAGGGGTCAGGGATCTTCCTTTGCAGGTTTTTTGGGTTCAGTATCTCTGGGCTCCGAGTTGCAGTCTTCGTGGGTCCCTGGGTCTCGCCCTGTGTTTTGAGAGATGCCAGGACAAAATTGCAAAGCCCTAAACCCTAAAGCCCTAAACTAAACCCTAAACCCCTATAAACCCTAAACCCTAAAAACCACTAAAAACCACTAAAAGCCCTAAACCCTACACCCTGTCCATGCGAGGTCTCCATGGTTCCATTGATGGGCTGGCGCCCGGACATGGGCTCTTCGACTACCACTCGGCTGAAACCCGGAAACCCTAAACCTCCAAGACTAAACCCTAATGTAGGAACCTTAAGGGCCCTATAACCCCAATATAACATACTAGGTTTCATATTCCGAACCCCAAAGGCCCTAAACCTTCAAGACTAAACCCTAATGTAGGAACCTGAATTAAGAAACCCTGGCCCTATAACCCCAATATATTATACTAGGATTCATATTAAGAACCCCAATAAAGACCAGGGCTTCTTCATCAGGTTCCTTTGTTACCCGTAAGCAACCGGTTCGGCGTGTGCCTGACGTGGAGGGTTGCGAGGCGCCGCCTTGTCCTTCAGAGATCTGGCTCATAAACATGCATGTGCGCAGTGATAAACACTGGCGAACACACAGACACGCACACACACACACACACAAAAACAAACAACAAAGAAGAGTAGCTTTGTGTAAAGACAAACATACGAAATCTGAAGACACACATACATGCATGCATGCATACATACAGACAAACATACGCACAAAGACACACAAACATACGCGTACATATAGGTGTATACGTAAACGTACAAACAGATGTACAAGTGCGTATGTATGCATGTGCACATGCATGATTGTAGTTGCGGTTGCATATACAAATATTTTCATATATCCACAGGAAACGAACAAAAGAACAACCAAACAAGCAAGCAAGCAAGCAAGCAAACAAAGCAAGCACACACGGACACACAAAACACACACATATATATATATACATACAACCATGCATGCATACAGACATACAGACATACAGACACACATACAGACGTAATGGCGTGCAGACATACATGCAGGCAGTACGTGTGTGTGTGTGTGCTAATATGTACTCATCTTCAAGTGTTATTCGACTGAGTACACTGTAGCGGCATCCACGTATCTGCTTCCTGTTGTGCTTGTTGATTGCTAAGGGTGAATGTACCCAAAGGTATGTATGTATATATATATATATCTGGCTTATACAGGAAGGACCTTCAATCATCTATCTATCTATCTATCTATCTATCTATCTATAGAGAGAGAGAGAGAGAGAGGAAGAGAGAGTATTTGCTATGGCCTCAGAGTATTCCCGAAAAGATCCTTGCCTGGCTATTCGGGGAACAGTCTCAGCCGCAAGGGCCCTTGGGGTTGGTCGGGTTTCAGAGTCAGAGCTTCCCTACAAAGGCACAAAGGAACTTCTGTTGAAGGCTTAGGATATGATCTGAGATGTATAGGGTTTAGGGTATAGGGATATGATATAAGATTTAGGGTTTAGGGTTTAGGGATGTGATATAGGACTTAGGGTTTAGGGTTTAGGGATATGATATAAGATATAAGGGTTCAGGGAGAGGGACATCACAAGCCTGCAGGCCTGTTGGACAACACCTCCTCTGAAGCCTACAAGAAAACTGGCAAAGCCATGTAAATCCAGAGAAAAGTTGTGACAGAACATCGTAATTTCCTGCAAAACTGCCTATGGAGCTCCTACAGAAAGCTGGTAGAACACCTTTCCCAAACCCTAAACTCTGTTACCAAATCCATAAATCCCAGAACTCCCTAGCCCTACCATGGCTTTAAGGTTTAGGGTTTAGGGGTTCCGACCTCACTGTCGTCGCTTTCGGCCTGCTTCAAGAGATCGGCTACGGTTTCGGGCTTATGATAGGGTCTTCGTTACGCCATGGGAGGCTAGCTGCTGACCCAAATCAAAAACATCGATCGCTAAAAGCTTCAGTGGTTCTTGGCTTAGGGTTACCTGCAAGGGTAAGCCCTCTTGCCAACATCCAGAAATGCCCCCGTTTCTCACCTTAAACCAGGAACCTTGCATCCTAGTCCTAGACGACCCAGCCAGACTCCAAATCGTACAAAACGCAAACCTCGCTCCCTACATGCTAAACTACCGAGACGCAGCTTGGGGTGTCGAGGATACTTCACCTGACAACCCTAACACCTCGCGGTCACTTGAAGTCGTTTGAAGGCTTAGCGGGTGTGGCACATCGGACGTCTACTTATTTGGGCTTACAGTTTTGGTGGTTTAATTACAGTAACCCTGCACCCTAAACCTTAAACCCTAAACCCTAATTTCAGTGTTTAGTGCTCTCAGGATTTGGGTCGATGGAACGACTTTGGCTGTAACTCCACAGTGAAGCTACTTACGGTTTAGGGCTTAGGGTCTACCTGCATCCCCAAACTCTACGAAACAGTAGGCTATGACCCCTTGTTTATAGGGTCTTTAAAGCAGTAGGTTTTTTGGATACGCAGGTAGGGTTGAAGGGTTTACCATCATTTCCGGATCCTTTCAGCAAGGTTTCGAGTATAGGGTTTCATGGCATGGCGCTCGGTTCTTCGGGAGGTTTAAGGTTTAGGGTTTAGGGGGACATGAGGTTTAGGGTTTAGGGTTCAGGATTCAGGGGGACATCAGGGCCCTAAACCCTAAACCCTAATTAGGGTGTCGGGTGAAGGGTATTGAATATTCTCTGTCCTTCAAGCAAAGGGCTGCGCACCAAAGATCAGAAAGCTCAAGACTTGAATTGAATCCCCAAACAGCCAGCCGGCATCACAAACGTACTCCCTGAGGGTTCATGTACCTAAGCAGTATATAATAGCTTAGCCTTAAAAGTACTTCCCTATTTGGGTGCTTTAGGGCCAAAGTATATACTATTTGGGTGTATGGAGCATTAGTAAACTCTCAAGCCGAGACCCCGGCAGAATCCGAAGATTCAGTCGCTGCTGGCAGCTTGGCAGGCTTTGCCTGTCATCTGAGCTGAAAGTTTAGGGCTTCACGGTTACCCAAAGGTCGAAGCAATAACGGTTTAGGGTTCAGGGCTTAGGGTGTAGAGTATTAAATATAGTATATATTTTTTAGAATTTAGTGCCTAGGGTTTAGGTATAGCATATACTTTCTAGTCCCAACAACCTACCAAGCACCCTCGTATATTGCTACTTGGACCCCTTGAACTTTAAAATGAAAGATCTCATGGGTTTGGGATCTAGGGTTTTAGGATTGATAATATGGTTTCTGATTCGGGGTTTAGAAAGTTTGGAATCTTGGGTTCAGGGTTTTGGGGTTTAGGGTTGGCTTAGGGTTTATACAACGGTCTCGGGCTTGGGAGGTTCGGGTTCAACACAAGGGTTCGGGTTTAGGGTTCAGGGTTTAGTTCGGGGCTTAGGGTTTAGGGCTCAGGGTTTAGAGTTTAGGGTTCGGTGTCTAGGGTTTAGGGTTCAGGGTTTGGTCCACGTGGGTCGAAACGGGATGTACAAGGGGCGGAGTGAAGGGTTAATTGGAATCTCTTGGAATTGGGCATGGGGCTTTATTTGGGAGGGTGTATGGCTAAAGACAGTCTGGTACACCGTCACGGTACTAGTCGTTAGATCTTTTGGCCCGAACCCTAATTCCTGCTTTCGGCACAGGCTGTACCCCACGGCTTTGGCCTCTGAAATTCACCACAGCCAGACTTTGCAGGCTTTTGGAACTCAAGTCCCTTAAACCCGATAACAGAAAGAGCAAGACACTGACACTAATTGTGATGTACATGTTGATAACGGTGCTGACGTTGATGCTGCTGTTGATGATGATGTTGATGTTGATGTTGATGCTGCTGTTGATGTTGATGTTGGTGTTGATGTTGATGTTGATGTTGTTGTTGATGATGATGATGATGATGGTGTGATGATGATGACGATGATGATGATGATGACGGATGACTGACGATGGTCACACAATGGTGACGGTGCATCCTGAACCATGCACGCTCACTTCACGAAGTCTTAGTTGTGCTTCTAACATGCCAGGACATACTGAGCTGACACGAGAAGAAGCCTGAGAAGTCTTAACTATGCTTCTAACATGCAGGGGCATATTGATCTGACACGAGAAGAAGCTTGAAACCGCGATCTTTTTATTGCTTCATTCAGTAATCATGGCAAACTCCCCAAACCACAAAACCAATCCCGAAACCTAATCGCTAAAACCTAAGGCCGAAAACTCGACAGCACTAGAGGACCCTGGATTGTACAACACTACAGATATATACAAACTCGTAAACCCCGAAGCCCCCAAACCCCGAAGATTTAAACTCTGTGCCCGAAACTGTGGGAATAGAACCTTAACGCCTGCACGAAGGTTCATGTGGAGTTGTAAGTCGGGGCATACTAAAGAGAACTGTAATTCGGTTCCCAATCAAGACCAGTATGACCCAAAGGAGAAAGAGAGAGAGAGAGAGAGAGAGAGAGAGCCTTTGACGTTGAATTTTCAGGCCTAAAGCCTATAGAGTCTAAAGCCTCAGATTCACAACGCCTAAACCCGAGACTGAAACCGGCCTCTGGCGTGTCGGTGTCGGGTTGCAGACTGTCGGAAAATCGCCTTCGCCACATCTGGAGATCCCGAAACTTCTACGATTCTACACCTCATGCAGGTAAGACATGCTTTGGCTTAGGGTTTACTATAGGCTTTGATGTATAAGATGCATGCGGCTACGGATAACATCGACTCTTGACTCGAGGTTTCGAAGCATGAGCATGACTGACTCACACCCGAAGGGTCCAAGTACCCATTATTAAGGACTTTGGGGTTTTTGTGGGTACCCAAAACCATAAATAAGGACTACTTGGACCCTTGGGGACACACTTAGGTTTGGACTGGATGCTTGTACGTCCCCGAAATGCAAGGTTCCGAAGTGCCACACTTCCCAAGGTACTAGCCCACAAGGGAGCCCTGTCCAAACCCAAGCCCCCACATGGACCCTGGAACTACGACCCTAAACTGCGGGAAATATGGTATATTCCTTATTATGGGTAATGCAGGATTTATACCACCAACCATATGGCAGGGTCCTTGCCGAAAGGAAGATCGTCTTTTCGAGGTATCCCCGGCTTGGGATTGAATGACGGCGTGGGGAGATGGCTTGAATCTCTTAGCCTTTGTACACCCTACAGTACAATCCCCATCTGAACCCGATCAACCTCACCTTTTCAGGGTTCGTTGGCATGGTTTCGTTGTTTAAGTCCCTGGAAAGGAAGGTTGCTGGGCTGTGGGACTGTACATAAAGCTGTCGCAATTCACCCTGCGGGAACTGGTGGCGAGAAAGGTGATCGAACGGTTGTCACCGCTTGCTTTGCCCAAGTCTGGATCGCTCGAGCATTGTGTACCGTAAAAGTCATCCAACATTGGTGTCAGCCTGAATGTATTCTCTCCGAAACGACACAAGCACCATCGCGAGATGTCAAAACGGCACATTCTCGTCGACAAAGGACTGACCGGAGGGGCGACGCTCACGGTGGAGTGATGCTCCAATCTGTCCGATCGGACCGGTGCCTGCACATTCCGACGTCACGTGCGAATCCTGCCAAGTGGGATCTTTCTGGCACCATGCATACCAGCGAGTCCTCGAAGGTGTCTAACACGAACCCACACGTCAGGGCTTGTGCACAGGGTCTACCACTTTGACTGCGCAAATCCTGGAACATGTCCAACAAAGACTTAAACACATGTGCCAAAACACGTGAAACACTGCAAAAATGCCCCAGAGAAACGGAATACAATAGAAAACGGATGCCAGAAACAAAGAAAATACTCATTCTGAACCGTAAACGGCACCCCCTACTTAAGCTCTACATCCGCCGCACCCTTTGCTTTCTGGCAGCTCATCGACTTCGATCTTTTCCAGTCATACCACCCAGACCCTGACACGTAGCACCTTTGTGATTACCTTGGTGTCTTATTTTAGAATCCCAATTATCGACATAACATGTTGTTCAACAACTACTACATTCTAATTAGGGTCTAGGTAATGGGTCTTGGCATGTATGAATCGATTCACGACCTCTGGCAACTAGTCTATCTAGTACCCTAGACCCTCAACCCTAAACTAATCACTAGTCACTTTCAGACCACTTCTTTTGCGCTCCCCAAAGCCTGAACCCCAACGAAGCGAACCGAATCCCCCTAGACCCTGAACTTAGGGCGATTTGTGAGCCTTGTGACCTCTCGGGCCTGTTCTGCGAGGTGCGCGGCCTCACACTGGAGGGCAGCTTAGAGCTTCGAAGACGCTATAAGCTGAGGGTTTGCTCTAACCTGCCATGACATACTTCTGTAGGGTCGCTGTACTTCTGCAAAAGTGCTAGGTTTTTATTGCTCAGATGCGAGCTAGGGCGCCCTTTCGCGCTCGAGGTGTGTCAGGGTTTGGGGTTGAGTGCCTTCGAGGCAGCCTATGTATAGCAGAAAAGACCTGTCATTGAGGCTGCTACATTGCAGTATGGTCCATGGCCTAGGGGATGGGCTCTGTGAAAATCTTAGGGTTGAGGGTTTCGCACATGGGTGAAGGCTGTATAGCTTATATCGACGCCTCGCAACTTGTGGGCTCTCGCTTGGAAATGATGAGATTTGTGGAATCAGTTTGGGGGAAAACCCTAACCCTATAGCGTAGGATGTCGAAATCAGGGAACACCGCCGACCTACTTACCGACATCTCTATGAGGCTTCTCCGTTCTCGACGGGGCGAGCCCTCGGGTTTAGGGCTTAGTGATTAGGGCTTAGGGTCTAGGGATTAGGGTTGAGGGGAAGTCAAGCAGCATCGCAGAGCATGTCGAACTGCTACACAAGCTTTCACGACCTGCAGCCCTGAACCTTAAACCGAATCTATGTAAAACTCTATACCCTAAAACCTTAAACCTAATTACGAATTAAACCCGAAAGCCTTGAATCCTAAAACCCTGGGACAACTATAACCCGCCACATGAAGAGGGGTGTCCCGTCCGACAAACCTTAAGAGGTCCCCAGACACCCCCAAACGGGGTTCCCAACTGCACTCCGACGCCCCTGGACTTTCACTAAACCTCTCTATTACACCCATGCAGCCCCCAACGCACTAAACACAGTGGAGAAAGCTTTCCCGCACGATGTATGTTTGAGATAAAGGGGCCTTTCTAATCAGAACAGTATTCCTTTGGGGTCCTCGCTAGCATTGTAGTACACTATGAACCCTAAGCCCTAGAACTTAAACCCTAAAAACCTAAACCCCCCAAAAAGTGTAGGACACTATGCCCCAAAACACGGGTCGCAATCTTCAGGCCCCCCTAAACTAACCCTCATAGATGGCCCCTCTCTCCCTGTAGAAGCCTCCAAAGGAGTCCTTCTTGAAGGAGCCCTAAGGGTTTAGGATTTATTCGGGTTTGGGGTTTAGGGTCAAGGGTTTAGGGTTTAGGGTATTTATTCGGCTTTGGGGTTTAGGGTTAAGGGTTTAGGATTTTAGATAATTTTGGCGAGTTGTTGGTCTAATCCGCCTGAGGGTCCGTAGAATATTCGCATAGTTCGGGCCGGAAGTTGCAGCGGCCGAATCCCGGCCTGTTGGGCCATCTTGCGGCGGAGTTCCTGACGAAAGGATGGCTTCCAAGGCTTTAGAGAGCTTCGTTTGCTTTTGTTCAAGCTTAGGGTTTAGGCTTTAGGAGTGTCTTAAGGATCGGAGGGCTGAGGTTGCTGGGCTTAGGGTCTGTGGTTTCTATTCAGGGTTCATACGGTAGGGGGTTAGATTCAGTGTTACGGTTCATGATTTCAACCTCCCGACCTTACGACACGATGCTGCGAACAGCTAGTAGGGATTAATGCCACTTGCGGTGCCTTAATTTGAGGGTCTTAATGTAGTCTCCTGACAGAAAAAGCCACTTTCTAAGTCTGAACGCCTCTAGTGATTAGAATCTCCATGAGGATCCTCATTAAGTCCACACTTGCAAGTCCATCCTTCGTGATTTGAAAAACCCGCTTGTTGGCCAAAGGTTGCACAGCAAGCGCTCAGAAACCTATAAGCCCTAAACCCTATACCCTATAAGCCCTAAACCCTGCAACTGCAGCTCTAGTGTCACTGAAGATTTGGATTTTGGGGTAGACCCAATAGACCCAAAACACCAACTCCCCTCCAAACCTACAGACCTTCTCGTCACTATCCACTGACCACGACACATACCAAAAATAATACTAGAATACTGGAATACTACTTAGTATAGTATTAAGTACTATAATGTATAGTATTAAGTACTATAATGTTAGTAGTACGTAATAATAATAGTACTAATAATAGTACTACCCAGTAATAATAATACAGGCTGGAAGGCTGGAGGCCCGAAGGCTGGAAGGCTGGAAAGCTAAAGGCTGGAAGGCTGGAGGGCTGGAAGGCTGGAAGGCTGGAAGGCTGGAAAGCTGGAGGGTTGGAAGGCTGGAAGGCTGGAAGGCTGGCGGGCTTGGAGTGAAGGGGGGCAGTGGATATTTAAACTTCCGATTTAAACAGGTCATTTACACTACCTCTGTCATCCTTGGGCCTGGGCCGCCCTCCACATATTTAAAAAGCGTCACCGTACTAATATTAATATCCTAATACTGTTACTAACAAACCCAGCACCCCATCACCTGACAGCATCGACCCAAGGCGAAGGAAGAGCCTCAATGTGCCCAAACTCGGCTTCCTCAGGTACGGTTTCCGCCCGGCGCAGCTCCTGCAGAGCTTCAATTCATGGGATGAGGTTTAGGGTCTAGGGTTCAGGGTTGGGGTATCGGTATAGTTCAGGCTTGAGAGTCCAGTCAAAGGGTGGAGGTTTCGGGATTGGTGACACTTTCCGCTATGAGACCCAAAATGCCAGGAGCTGCACTGGCATCGGGAGCAAGGGACTGTAAGACACCTTAGACCAGATCAGCTTCCGTCCCTGATGTGTGCATTGTACCTGATGGTCCTCCATATCGTACCTCCCTTACATGATGACTTCAATCTCAAGCGGCTGCCTTGTGACACATGACTTTGCTCTTCGATGCGTGCAGTCTCCAGACCTCTTTTCAAGACTGCTGTCGGCGGAGCACATGGAACTTCGTGTCTTCCGGCACCCGGCACCCGAGATTGTCTGACTCCTGGTGCTAGAATGCCTTTCTCGCACGATGCTTTCAATCCCAACTCGCCCCCTATGAAAACTGCCTAGGGTACCCAGGATGCTTTCTTTTCTGCCCTCTCTCATTACGACCCTACTCAGACAAAAGCTTTTCGGGTTCCTGGTTACGTCCTCGGTTGCACTACTGCTTCGGCCGAATAGCCTCATGCAGCTGGTAGTTCCGGAGGACCCCTACCCACTGACCCCGGGAGGTGCGCTTCATGCTGTGGAAGCCGCCGCGGCGGCTCGGAAAGAGCCTTAATTTGCTTTCAGCTTAGGCTTCGAGAGGCCAGGTGCATGTTATATAGCATTCAAAGTGTACTATGTATGTATGTATGTATGTATGTATGTTTGTTTCTTTCTTTCTTTGTATCAGGCGCAGCGCCATGCAGCCGTCAGCTTGCCACGCCTTTTGACCATTCAGGTTGGCAGATTTAGCCCGGCGGGTCACAAACCAAGCTTCTTCATTCGACCTAGCCACAGGATTTATGTTCCGGTGTTCAGGACGAATCCATTAGAACCACGTCCATAGGTTATGATCTCCAGGCAGTAGTTTGTCATGCAGGCCCTGACAGACTCAGTGGGCACAACCGCTCGGTGCTGTTCCATTCCAGTCGTGCCTGCTACATCACTGATGATGCACAGCCTGTCCAAGACTTTGCTGCAAGCGATAAGCCCATCCTGGAGTTAAACTTGCATCTGTTTATCTTTCTCACAAGAAGGCACAGCCAGTGATCGTTTCAGTACCTTTTGTCCTGAATATCAGTGCCTCCACTACCGAAAATCAGCCCAGCCGGTGACATGCTGTCGCACGTGGGATGGTAACGTCGGGCAGCTGTTGCTTGGCAGTTTGCTGCTGTTTACTTTGCTTCTAGTCTAACCTTTTTCTTTCCCTACTGCGGGGTGCCTACCATGTGGCATGTGTGGTTCAGACACCGGTCTCTGACTGCCCCTCGACGCATTGCGAGACCTTTCTTGCAGCGTGTAAGAGCAAGAGAGAGAGAGAGAGAGAGAGAGAGAGAGAGAGTATGTATGTATGTATGTATGTATGTATGTACGTATGTATGCATGCATGCATGCATGCATGCATGTATGTATGTATGTATGTATGTATGTATATATACACACACATATGTGTGTGTATTTATCTGTATGTACACATATATATATAAGATACACACTGTATATATCTGTATGATTAGGTCCCTATTCTGGAAATATAAAGTAAGGTGATTAACAAGAGCCAATTACAGGAGAACCTCCAAGAAATCCCCAGAGGTCGGCAGTGCATTATCTACGTTGTGTGATATTTGGTTACCACGAAATGCCCGAAATAGCAATCCTACGGAAGCTGGGAGAAATCCTACAAACACCAAAACGCAAATCGCAGTGCAAGGAGCCAGTGCGAGACACCACGGAAGAAGTAGGGTCGTGCTTTGAGCTGATCCTCTGCAATTCCACCGTCCTCTTGATGTACGAGCCTTGGTACGGTGACAGGGTGCTACAGAGAGATCCCTAAACACTAAACCCCTAAACCCTAAACCCGAAACCATACGAAAGCTTGAATCGACAGCATCTTGAACTACCCCGAGTTTTGAGGCGGTAGGAGGCTCCTTCTTCTCCCTCTCTCCCTCTATCTGTGTTGGGGTTTAGGGTTTGTAGGGTTTAATTAAGGTGAACAAGCCAGACCAGAACGACCAGGAGACAGTGGTGGAGGCTGGCGAACTCGCGCCGCGCGCCACAGGAATGGCTTGATATTGCCGATGTAGTTCACCCGCTCGCGCCTCCTGGGCAGCTTTAGATTTAAATAATGAGTCCTCAAGGGGTCCGAAGTAATTACTGTTGTGGGGGACACTTCCCCCCAAAAAACAAAGTAGTTCCTCATATAGCAACCCTACATTCTACTATATAGGTACTTAGGACCGTTTAGGGTCGTGCATCACCCGAAAGAACACTGCCAGAACACAATGACGTAGCGAGAGCAAGATTATCAAGATTGGTTGTTAATGAGTGACAGCAACACCTGTTTGGGGCATGGCCGGATTTTCAGTTTAGGTTTTTTGGTTGAGGCATTTTGGGGTGAGGGTCTTTACAGATTAGGGTGTCTTAGGGTGCATACGCTCTAAAGCCCCCTATAGACCCTAATTTCTAAACCCTTTAAGCCCTAGACTCTAAACCCATGTTCGCATGGTAGCTGCTGGCATAGTCCCCAAGCCCAGCGAACCGACTCGGCATTCCCAATCCCAGACCTTCCACTATCCCCTCATGAAGGAATATTCCTTCGTCTTCGTTTAAATCATATTAAAGATCTCATTACTTAATGAAGGAATATACGTTAAATGCTTTGAACCGTTCTAGGGCACTTTAGGGATATTAGGGATCCTTCTATATTTTAAGGACTAGTCCTTAATTAGCGGATATTGGAAGGTCTGGGCACACCCCCAAACAGGCAAGCTGCTTGACGCCGTGTTTGCGCTTGAACCTGGGGCGTCTTTTCAAAGGGCCCCTGGCCAAGTGGGCCCATCCTAGTTCCTTTTTGGCTTGGTTGGGCCCTTAACACGGTTAATACGGGAAAAGTCAACATGTCCCAAAGGCCTACCTAGTTACCCTAAACAGCTTTGCTGCTCGGACCCCATAGCAACAACGAAGAGAAACTACACTGCCCTAAACCCCAAACCCTAAACCCTACCCATAGGCTCCTTAGTGGTCCCTTTTGGTGGCTTATATCTAGGATCCTATAAGGTAATCCCAAAAAGGAACTACTAAGGAGCCTCTGGGTAAACGTTATGGAGGCGATACGTAAACCCACCAAAACCATGCTGCGGTTGAGAGCTGGGGACTTAGGCTTAAGGCGAAGAAAAAGACGTATGAATATAAATAAACAAGCAGCTACACAGATACCTATATATCTATACTCTATACCTATGTCTACATAGGTGTATATATATATATGTATTTATGTTTTTTGAATATCTAGCAAATAATTGAATTTCTGATGCAGGTTTCATGGAATTTCGAGCTTCGAGGAGTGCCCATTGCCTCCAATGTAGCTGCCTTTTCATTGAGTGTGCAGGATTCCTTTGTAAAGAAGCAAGGCAATCAAGCAAGGCAGTGCGGAGGATCCTTAGTAACTTCTTAGTAACTTAGGAATCCCAACAAGGGGGAAAAGGTAAGCAACAAAGCCCGCTCGAAGGTCTAGTCGTTCACGATGTAGGATATGGTCCATCTGCGGCATAAACCAGGACTGATCCCTAAACCCTAAACCCCACAGATGGATTTGTCAGACAAGCGCATGGTCTCTGTCAACCCGGAACACCTACCCACACCCCATCGAGGGTTTAGGGCTAGCTCAAAGGTGGTTGGAAGGAGAAATGGGAATACTAGAAACCAATCTGTCTATCTACTGATCTACCGCTCTACCTGTCTATCTACCCATGTACCGTCATATATCTGTCTGTCTGGCTGTCTGTCTGTCTGTCTCCGTATGTATGCGGGTTAGGTAATGGCAGATTCCACGCAAGGCAGCTGTTTCAGGTGGAATACTGGAGACTCAGGCGACTCACGACATGGCAAAAACCCACGACATGATCATGTCCTGCTGCTTTCTCTGTCTGGGCCCTAAAGAACCTACCATTTTCGGGCTCCTTATTATGATTTCTTCACAAAGGTCCTTAAAAAGGTATGTTTGTTTGGGGTTGAGGTGAACTTTGATACAATTTCCTACGGGGTTAAGGGAGACTATCAGCAGCATGATCCGGGCTGCCATAATCTTGACTTTACCTACCAATAACCGGTACGGTCCCCAAACGTTGAACTTCGTTAAACCCTCAAGCCCTAAACCCTAAACCGCTAAACCTAAACCCGAAACCCTAAAGCCTAAACCCCTAAACCCAAAACCTTAAACCCCAACCTCTACACCCCGAGAGTGCTGTGACCCGGAACCCCGAATTGGCTCTTGACCCTCCGCCCGGCGAAAGGGTTTAGGGTTTAGGGTTTGGAGTTTCGGGTTGGGGGTTTAGGGTTTAGGGTTTCGGGTTGGGGGGTTTAGGGTTTGGGGTTTCGGGTTGGGGGGTTTAGGGTTTAGGGTTTTTTGGTGTTTATTGATATGGTACTCGGCCGAAAATGCATATTCCCTGCTGACATCTTTGGACCCTTTAAGCGATCAACCCCAAACCCTGGCCTGAGTGCCTACATAGGAACAAATCTATGAAGCCGAAGTATGTGCTAGATAAGTACACGGGCCCTACGAGCTTCTAAGGCGCTGAGGAGGCTAGCACTAAAAAAGTCCACCTTGTCATTTCTGGTAGGATCATATAAAGCCCCAAAGGGTAGAGGTCACCCACTCAGCTACTAAGAACTTGGTGGTAAACCCTATAAAGCCCTTATCAATCCCTCCGATACCCGCATAAGACCCCCCCCCCCCCGCACAGGTGCATGGGACCACTGAAATCCAAACCCCAAACCCTAAACCCTAAAACATATGGGACCCCCAGGGACACCCCCCGGGCCGAGGGGCTTGATCTTGAACTTGCGCCAGAAGAAGTTCCTCGATGTTCTGAGTCGGGGTTTAGGCTTTCGAGCTCTAGGATTTAAGCTTAAAGGTTTAAGGTGCCACAAAGTTTCACGGCTTACAGGGCTTGGAAAGAGCATCGCAAATGTAAGGCAAAGGCATCTCTTTCCATGCAGTTGCTTCAAACTTACAGGAATGCTGAGTACCCTAGTACAGACATGGCAGCTTCCTGTTCCCGACCCCCCCTCCCCCGAAACTGACACATGCACGCCTGCACCCAACCTCATGAACATGATGGCGCACCTTCGTAATTAAAATAGGGTTTTGCGACAAAGTCTGGTTACAAGAAGGAGCCTTTAGTACCACTAACTATTCAGGCTTGTACAGTACACTAACCCTAAACACCCCTGGACCCCAAAACTCCTTAAAGCTTAGACCAGGACCCTGCGCTCAGCACGCTGCGGGACGGCCGGGAGCACGACTAGTCTCCGTGTCTGCTTGCCCCACCTTGGCTTGGGGTTTGGGGTTCAGGGTTTACTGTCAGGATTTCCTGGGTATGTGAGTCGGGGTTTCTGGGTTTTAGGGTTGAGGAGTTGGGCGAGAGTTTAGGGTTTAGTGTTTAGGAGTTGGGGTGATGGGTGTAGGGTTTGGGGTTTAGGGCTTGGGTTTTAGGATTTGGGGTGTACCTTTCAGAAGGTAAGAGTGTAGGGCTTTAAGGGTGCAGGCTTGGGTCTTCAAAATTCAGGGCTTCGGGTTTTGTTCAGGATGCCCGGGACCCTCCTTGTGCCCTCAAGTAGGGGTTTTAGGGTTAGGTGGTGCTTGCATTGCGTTCTTCAGGTCTCTCGTCAGGATACATTCTGCGAGAAATTCACAGTAGCAGGGGTGCGGAAAGGGTCTGTATTCTAATATGATACCGATCTCAAGGTGCCATGAACTACAGCCTAAGCCGTTGGGCCAAGACAAGACTTCCCTCTGAGCTCTCAGGGTTTAGGGTGTAGGGTTCAGGGTTTAGGGCTTAGGGTTTAGGGTCTACGACCCAGCAAGTTTGCAGCATGTTGTTCGGATTACCTCCACGGCAGTGCTCCGGTTACATCACGAAGGTATTTTGCTGGACGTATGCCAGGAGCAACTCAGGAGGCTTCTGTAAACCTAGAACGCCCTAAACCCTAAACCCACCAAGCCTTATTCCGTTGAGTTCGAAACTTCATCGCGATGCCACGGGAGCGATTTAGTTCTAGCTACACGTAGGAATGGTCTCTTCAAGACAATGCTCAATTCAAAACAAATTCCACTCACTGATGCATCTTCGAAGCCACAGACCACCCACTGCCCAGACAGAGTACCGGAGCTTGAGGAGTAGGTTCAGGGTTCCGGGCTTTATGCATAAAGCGCTTGGCTGGCCGGAGGGGCATCCAAGGGTAGGGTTTAGGGTTTAGGAATCATAGACGGTTTTAGGTCTTCAAGTGATCAGGCTGTTTCCCTGTGGACTTGGGGGTCAAGATGCAATGCTTGTTGCCTGCAAGGTTCAGGATGTCTTGGGGCGACAGGACAAAGCCCACGACCAGTGGACCAGACGAAGACAGGGCTGACACGACCCAAATCCTAGCTGCTCTCAGCTAGAAGTAATGTAGGGGCCTTAATATTTAATTAGAAGAGGGTTTGGAACATATTATGCGATAACTATGTATAGGTATTTAAGATTAAGTCTCATACAGTATCCGAAACCTGGCTCCTCTTCAATCCTCTGAAGAACCTCTGAAACAGTGCCCCGCCCAAGCAAGCCCTGTGAATCCTTGTCCGGAACCAACCCTCATGCCAAGATTCCCATTAGGTTTACACTACTGTTGATGATATAAATCCTGCATTACCCTTAAGGACCCTAAACTATGGGAGTTATGGTATAGTCCTTACTATAGGTAATGCAAGGTTTATATCATCAACCGGTCTTGAGTCTGATTCGGGGTGTAGGAGACTGAAGCTGCGCATGGCTACCGCTGCAACAAGTCCCACTTCACAGGAAGGTCAGGTACATCTTTCCCTCTGTGCGCAATTTTTTTTGTGCTATGTTTCAATCTGTCACGAAATGGCTCTCGATGACATTGTAATGTGAAGCATTGCACCAAGCAGAGATTGGAGGGGATCTGCGTGGAGGGTCCCCCAAAAGAAGGAGATCAACTCCAAAGGCATTCGCATAGAACAGCTCTTTGCACTTTGGCATAGATGCCGCCAGCGCTGCAAGGGATTGACGCAAATTTGTTCTTTCGTGCTCCTGATCAACATCCTGGACAATGAGGACCTGCAAGCTCACAAGCGATGGCAATGTCTCAGCAAGTACTTGCAGTTCTGTATCGGGCAGGTTATACAGATACAATACCTTTTGCTGCTGAGCGTGCTGGCGAAAAACTTTCTCTTGCAATTGGACAACGGATTCAAGATCGCTGCGGTGGGTGAATATCAACACGAGCCCATCTGGATCCCCCTCCATTCCACGGATGACACGCTCTTGAAACATGGCGGGTGTCATCGGTGAGCGTTCCCAACTGACAGACCGTGTGCACATCCACTGAGTTTCAGCAACACACCAGCCTCGTTGAAAGTACAGCGTATCGTTCATCACCAACTCCGCAAATGGTCTGAGCTCGACCTTGTTGGTGGTCTCGCAATAGATCTCGATGAAGTCTCGCTGCAAAGATCTGTGAAGGTGAGATGGCATGATTTTCTCCAAGCGGATTACGTGGTAAATAGCCGCGTGCGAGTAGAGCAAATGCATCGAGCTCATGGCATGACGAAAGTGTTGCTCTTCTGCCTCTGTACGCTTGTACTGAGGTAGGGAGATAAAGTCGATGAACAGCCAACATTGATCCGGATCGTTTTTTCCAAAAGCCGAGAAGTCTCTGGTTTCTCTGAACCACTTCAAGAGTAAGTGTGCTTGAAACCCAAAGGGGTCTGGATGTTGCTGCGCCTCCCAGCAATGAGATACGGAATATATTCTGACAACTCGTCCTTCTCCCGCTGCGGTATCTCTGCGCTGTCTTACAAAAGCCCCACCGCACACGGGGGGAAAATGTTTTTCATCCACGACATATTCTGCTCTTTTCAGGCACTCCATTTCGTGACATTTCACCAAGCCCGCTTCCTCTGCCTCTTGGCACCGTGGCCAAAGACGCCCAGCAGCGTTGAGCTCTAGCAGGTAGCTCAGTCTTACCAGCCGTATGTTGGCATCAATCAGGAAGTTTATGAGGTCTTCGGGATCTCTCAAATCATAGTCGACGTCGCCAGACTCCTCGCCAAATATAGCAGCTCCCATCCAGACATGCCCATGTACAAAGCTCGCAGGGGTTCCTGAAGATGCTCAGCACTACTCGCGCTGCAGACTAGGGCTCCTGTTGCGTACACAGTGAGCTGTTGGGGTTCGTGGTATATGATTATTATATTCGTAGCCTGCTATTTAGGCGGAGCCCTGAAACCCTAAGCCCTGAAGCTTTAGTATGCCATGAGATTGAGGCAGCATGTCATGCTCTGGAGCACGATGGGAGCGGCCTCTCTTTGATTCTTAACCTAAGGGTCCATCGTACCCCGCATAGCCCACACTGCGGCCTGAAAGCAGTCCTTATGTTTAGGGTTTAGGGTGTAAGTACTTTGGGGCTTTAAAGTATCCTTTTTTGGTGCAGGGTCATAGACTGGAAAAACTGGAAATGAAGGGGGGAGTTGGGTTTGAGCCTTACCTTAAGGCTTCACTCTGACTACAAGAGTCCAGGAGCCTTTGGGCAACATTTACGGGGAATGATGCAAGGTTCAGCGGTGAGATCTTGTCTGGATCTGGAAGTGGCAGCTGAGAGAGCAAGAACTCCACACGAACATGTTTTTAGAGCTACATCAACATTGCGCAAACCGAGCCCTCGGAGTCCATGTACTCATGCAGCAAATCTGTTCGTAATGCTGTTGCCTTTCTAAGCCTTACTAACTGACTACGGCCAATGCATTAAGAAGTACTCCCTGCGTAGGCCCTTTTGGGCCAAAGTCTCTCAAATATGTGGACCCTTGGGAAGCACAACGGGCCTTGGTCCAATGACGGCTCTTTAAACCCTAAACCCTATAAACCTTGCCCCCTAAACCCTAAGCCCTGAACTCCAAACCCAAAACCTCTAAACATCCTCAAAACCAACCTTCCGGGCAAGTGACCACTGCGGTGCAGTCGTTACTTTGTGAGCTGGCAGCCATCGCCGTGATACCTCGGCACACAGTGAGTTTTAGGGTTTAGGGTTCGCTGCACAGTAGATCGACCGCACATGAGAGGTTTGGGATGTAGGGTTTCAGACTTCAGGCTTTGAAGGTTTAGGGAGTTTAGGGCTTAGGGATTTAGGGTCGAGGGTGGTGTAGTGAGACCAGAATTCAGAGGTCTGAAGCTACTATGCCAACATGATGATCGGGCAACACATGGACATCACACTACATACTCAGCATTTATCATCTATGATTGTAGGGGTTTGATTATAATATGTAGGACTTATACGACTTCTAGGGCGCAGGGCTCCTCTCTTAGCGGTTAGAGCTGGCTTTCTACTTTGACCAGGCGAGGGGATCTGTTGGACAGTATCGGGGTTGTCCTGCATCATGGTCTCCCTTTCAGAGGACATGGCCCTTAAACAAGTGGCTAAGTTAAACGGTAAACCCTAAACCCTTTCAAAGGACACAGCCCATTAAGAAATTGCTAATTTATCCCCTGAACCCTAAAACCCTAAACCCTTTCAGAGGACATAGCCCTCGGGACATGGGAATTGCCCGAGAACGACCTACGCCTTACCATCACGGCCGACGAAGATCGGATCCTTAGCGTTTCGGGGTTTGGGGTTTACGGCGTAGGGTTTAGGGTTAAGCTTATATGGTACTAGTAGCCACAGCTCAACGACCGCATGGGCCTCCTTACACGCAAGTGTGACGTATCTCGCATGCTGCAAGATGAAACCATGGTCAGAAGGCGTATGCAGAGGCCTTCCCCTACGAATGAAATATCAAGCCTACTTCCTCGAAAGCTCAGCTCCTAATCACGACCACCTGTGGCACAATGACGGCAGAGTGCTCAAACCTTTGCCTTAAACCCTGTCACTGTGTCAGAGCTTGCTTTGTCATGGGGGTAGGGCTTCAGGATAAGTATGGGAACATGGCATGGTAGTTTGGATTCTTGAAGAAGCGCTGGCATCCATTGGCAGTTGTCGTCAACTGCAACCAGCAACACCAGCGTCTGTCATCGCAGCAACACACGCCCGAATAGGTGAACACAAGAAGCCTTTGAGGAATCTGAGGACACCCAAGTGATGAACATTAGGCCACTCCCGGGATGAACATTACTTGTATGGTCACACCATCATCAGTATTAGCGTCTCACCGTCGATGCCCACCGACGCTCAGTACCTTACCGTGTCATTATATCGCTTTGCAGTGTCGTCAAGACAAGTTAGAGCCACCCCTGAACCCCGAACCCATATTATTAATGCTTCCTTTGTCTAAGACCCCTAAACCCCAAGCCCTAAGCCTTAAAACCCTGAACTCTAAAACCCTTAACCCTTATCCCTTAAGCCCTTAAGCCCTTCTCCCAGGGATTCGCATGCCTCCGTCAGTGCTGCTGAGAAGGACTCGGCGACATCGCGGTTGGCTTCGACGAAGCAGATTCGATGTAGACTGAGGAGGAGATCGTAGGGTTCAGGCTTTAAAAAGGTGCAATTACCTAGACCGCCTCAACGTCCCTTTAGTGGCTCTATTAAAGGGCGCTTGGGGCGTCCTGGTAGGGTTTAGGGGGCTGTTAGGGATTGGGGGTGTTTAGGGGCTTAGGGGTTTAGGGGCTTACTGGTCTAGGGTTTGCGGGGGGCGTAGGGCCTTAGGGGTTTAGGAGTTTAGGGCTTTGGGGGGGAAGGGGTTTGGGGTTTAGGAGGTTGGTAGGTGCAGGTATGACTGCAATCCTCACGGCTTTAGGATTGATTGAGGCGATGATCATATGTCCGCCAACCCTGCAGTTTCCAGCACTAAGTAAACCCTGTCATGCAGCAGTCTCAACTCCAGGCGTCCGCGATGCGTCAGTCACAAATAGGCACACTGGCTACAAAGTATATAATTAGGCCTTCAGATACCTATATAGGAACCCCTCAAGTCCTGGGTATCTACTACATACGGACATGGAGCCTCGGGGCGATAAAGCAGGTGTAGCAGACCACAACAAAGGGTTTGCGGTAGACCATGTGATCTCAGGGGTTGGGGGCTCATCGCCCTTAGCTTCCATCATTCGCGCGGGACCGTGGATGGAAGCAGCAATTGGATTTCCTCCGCTTTCGTTTTCAAGCTGTGGTTGGAGCTTGGTTTCGTCGGTTAGCTTGGCTTTGAACCTACTGACGAGGAAAACAGCTATGTTGCAAGGGCAAGAGAGGACTGAAGGCACGCCGGCAGGACAGCTCCCATAGAGCTCTTTGGGAAGACTTGCCAGCATCTATGAACCCATGGCTACCCACAACCCTGGATCCTTAAGCCCCACAAACCCTTAGAAGCGAAAACGTCGAAACGGTCACATAGGCCAAAACCCCAAAAGTCCTCACAAGCCACAAAGCCAAAATAAAGAACAACCACGCTTGCAGAATCCGTACTGTGAGGCCAAAGTGTATACTTTCGACGACCCTTAACCCCAAAACCCCTAAACCAAAGACCCTCAAACCCTAAAGCCCTAAACCATAGACCCTCAAACCCTAAAGTGCCCCAAATCATAGACCCTCAAACCCTAAAAACTCTAAACCATAGACCATCAAACCCTAAAGCCTCAAACCCTAAAAACCCTAAACCATAGACCCCTGACACCCTAAGCCCCATGTAAGCACATGCGGCCCGTCTAAACTTAGCTTTCGAGACCCTCCATCTACCCTCTGGTTGGACCCTAATTACCCACAATTTAAGACCATAGATCCCTGTTTGAGGGTACAAGGAGGGTCACGGTCAGGCCCCCCAGACCCTAAACTCTAAACTCTAAACCCTAAACCCCAAACCCTAAACCCTAAGCCCCTAAATCCTAAATCCCTGAACCCTAAACCTAAGCCGGCCTATAGTTCGGCTCCGATGCTTCCAGCTGCAGGAGCACCTCGAAAGCCTGGACCGCTTTGGCGTTCCCAAAGGCATCATACCTAACCGACAAAAGCTGCAACCCCACATGCCTCCTCCACCAGCGCATGGCAGCTGTCTTGAGGTTGGTAGCCGAAGATGCCTTCGGAGCTGATGGGATGGTGAGGCATCGTCGGAGAAAGGTCCAAAGTGCATGGCAATGTGGTGTTTTTGCGGCTCAGCGACTCTAATTAGGGGTAACAGCTCGTGATGTAGGAACCTGATTCAGAAGCCCGGGTCCCATGTCCCGGAAATGTTGAGATCCATGCCAAGGTTACTTAATCAGGTTCCTATAGACTACCGATTGTAGGTTAGTTTTGCGCGCGGTATATGATGATGATGTATGTGGACCCTTAAGACGACCTGAAGAATGCTGCACCTGCAGTTTGAAGTCGAGAGAAACCCGACAACCTGTATAAGCGACAGACCGTAGACCTTAAACTCTGCATCTACAATCATCCAACAGCAGTGAAGTGATCCCCTGAAACATGCGACTCATGTCTAAAACCTTCTACCGACTTGTAATGTTCGACATGTTTGCATCCGTAAAACCCAGGAACCCGATACCGAAAAGTTGCCCTTTCCGTTCCCGGAATACACCCATCTGTTTCATTACGGTATAAACTCGCACGCAAGCACACATGTGTGTTTATTTATACACATGCATAGGTGTATGTTCCTCTGTTTTCGTATGCATGCATGTAAAGGTACAGATATAGTTATTTGTATAGGTGTAGGCGCATGTGCGTATGCATGTGCATGTACATGTATATCTGTGCAGACATATACATATGCATGTCTGTGTGCGTGCATGCATGCATGCATGCATGCATGCATGCATGCATGCATGTGTATGTATGTATGTATGTATGTATGTATGTATGCAGGTATGTAGGTATGTAGGTATGTATGTATGTATGTAGGTAGGCAGGCAGATAGGTAGGTAGGTAAGTAGGTAGGTAGGTAGGTAGGTAGGTAGGTATGTAGGTAGGCAGGCAGATAGGCAGCTAGGTATGTACGTATGCATGTATGTACATACCTGTATATATGTATATCTATATATGAATGCATGCATGTTCGCATGCAGGCAGTGTGCATGTGCGTCATGTGTTGATATGTATCCATGGATTATTCGCAGATGTGTGTGTAAGCTTGTCGGTATAGTTGGGA